CCCGGGTTCCGGGCTTTAACCCGGTCACCGAGTTTTGACCGGGTCGAACGGGTCGGCCGGGTCAATTTCTATTTTAAAAAAATTTCAAAACGACGTCGTTTTAATAAAAAATAAATAAAAGTCAACGGGTTACCACCGGGTTTTGCCGGGTCGTCCGGGTTTCCGGGTCAACCCGCCGGGTCGGCCGGTCACACCGGGTCATGGCTTACCTTATTTTTTCATCAACCCGGCCCGGTTCCAGCCCCGGGTCAGCCAGGTCCCGGGTCAACCCGCAGGGCCGAGCCGGGTTTTAAAACTATGCTTTTCAAAATTAAACTAAAAATAAAAACTTTAAAATTACCATTTCGAAAACCTAAAACCTTGGTTATTTTTTTTCGGGGCTCGTACACTGAAGACAAAACCATTCATTTGTTCAAATTGGCAAGTTATATTGCATTTCATATTAATTTTTTAGTGTAAAAAATGGATTAGGCATTGCTAGTATTTTTTTAGTAGAAAAAAATAAATTTAATAATTTAATATTATTTAACAAATTAACTTGATGAGTTTATAAAGAACTTAAATAATAAAAAAAATAATTTTTTTTATAAAATCAAGTGCTAATAAAATGATAAAACGTTTATCTAAAATTGTTGTAACTCGATGGAAAAAAAAAACTAATTTAAAATAAATTAAATATAAAAAAAAAATTAAAAAATAAAAAAAAAAAACAAAAATACCCAATAAAACAACTTAGACATGTGGTCTTAAGCCTTAATAAGAAAAGCCAAGACATATGATTTTATCAAACTAGGCTCGCATGCTTCGGATTTGATAAAAACAAATTCTAAAATGTCTCTGCTCTAATTCTGTGACTTCGCCAGAAGATCTGATATGACTGGAATGGCATGCTTCGGGCTGCAAATTGGACGTCAACTTCTCCTTCAGTACTCTGCGCGTATCATATATTTCCTTATAATTGGATGTACGAAAACATAGCGTTTTCACAAATTCTGATTTGATCTAATTCCATATGCTGAAATCCATTCGGGCAGAAACTTTACCAAATCCAGACTCGACCACTGTAACACTAAGCACAAAAGAAGCCAAAAGACTTGGTTTCTCTCAAATCAAATCTCTGTATCAGATCGATCCGCTGACATTGATGCCAAAAAAACCCCTCCTTTCCTTCGCAGGGAAGAATCCAGGGATTGATCTCGATTTTCCCTCTGCTCTAATCACTTAAAAGAACTCCACTCACTAAAAAAGGTAAAGGTAAAGAATCCAATAAAGGGAAACCCTCCATGGCACAGCACAGGTCAGGGTCCGAGACAGAAGAAAGCCCAAAAGCCACTGAGCTTTTGGTGTCATCTCCGCTGGCTCAAGAAAGAACCACCAGAGCTGATTATTTACAGCGAAACTCCAAAAATCTCCTCTAACAGAAAGGCAGATACCTAGAAGATTCTATCATAGGGTTCCCCCCATTATCCTGCTAAATTGTCTTGACTTTGGTTCTATTTCATTTGGGAAGTGAGGGGAATTCCGGCATTAATACGAAGACTCGAAGCCAATTCGTGGGCATTCCTATTTAGAATTAGAATAAAGGAGGACAAGAAAGCCTACTCCCGACAATGAAAGAAAAAACAGAAATACCGGAAATTTAAAATAGACTACTACTATGGTAAGAGCTCACTGGAATGTCATGCCTAGAAAGAGGTCAATGTTCAATTTGGGCTAGGAAAGGAGAATCCGAGATTGTATAACTAGATCTAACTATAATAGTTAGTTATGGTTTTTTGAGGTCGAGTTGGAAATAGAGGGAGCCGTCTACCTCTTCGAAGGATAAAAGAGTCCCGATTGTCGCTTGTCCTGGGAAGGAAGCTTCTTTTGTTACTGAGCTGCTACAGACTTCGATCAAGGAAAGCTGTCCAATTACGCATCAATCTAAAAAGTAGCATTTTCCCGCGCGTCATCAACAGTAAAGTCAGTGTCTATAGCCGCTGCATCTTTTTTCTTTTTGTTTTTGTTATTGTATTTACTGATTGGTTTAAGGCTGTCCTAGGAGTAGGGAATTACGGTCAATCAAACCAGTTCATGAATGAATGGCAATGGAGCACGAACGGTTAAGAGGTTAGTTCCAGATTTCGTGAGTTCTATTCGCATTTCGTTTTACTTTTTCTTTGAAGAAGGGAAAGGAAGTGACAATCAGTGTCGTGTGGGTCAAGCCAGCTGTTCTCAATCGCTCTTTCCAATTTCTATGGCTACATACTTTGCTTTGAATTGGTCTCTTCTAAGGAGGCCTTTTTCCGGGTAAATGTCAGAGATAAGAGATAGCCGTAGTATCTTAATCCTTTTTCCTGCAAGGGGGTGGGAGAGAGTGCCCCATAAACCATCGAGTGGAAGTACTTTTTTTCCCCTTTCCTTAGACCGAGACGAATACATCGAGAATCCAATGTGCAATTCATTTTGATGAGATAGATTCAGAGTGATCTGAAAAGCGGGAAAGAAATCTCTCTCTATTACTACGAATAAGATTTTGATCTTCTAAACTTAAACAAAGTAAGCATAAAGTTAGATTGGTTTGTGACATGGGTTGACTCTGATAGGAGGCTTTGAGATTGTGGGCTAGTCTGAATCCTAGATGCAAGCTGATTAGGTTGATAAAGGGGTCTCTTGTGAGACATCTTTGAAGCACTGCATCTTTCTAGCTTAAAAGAAAGAGAAAGACAACGAAGTGGGAAGATTTCCCAAGCTTAGGACTATTATCAATGGGCACTAGAGGGAGGCGCTAACATGCAAAAAAGCCTCCTTTCGGGTGTTTTTTCGGGAAGAGCACAGGAATGACTACAGAGAAGACTGAAAACTTCCATCAAGAATAGGCGGCTATAGCACGGTTCTCAATAGAAAGTGTTGTCAATGAGATAACGTCTGTAATCCATGGCCTTTTCTTCTCTCTCCTTCGCTCGGGGGAGACGGGGTGATGTTGTTTAATTGTGGTTGCCTGCCTCATTATATTATAGGCGGAAGGCTTCGTTTGACCTAGGTTGATAACCATATTAGTACCGGGGCAGTTGGACTATCTAGTAATGGAAAAATTCTTCCTTTTACTCCTTTCTGCTTATGCTCCTAGGTGTTGGGCTCCCGGTCAAATAGGGGAGTCTTATTCGCAGCTTTTCTCTAGTTTCTTTGTTTGAGGCTCTCTTCAAACCCTTCAGCGTGGAGCAAATCAAGCAAGGCAAGTTCGATTTCAAGCCTTCCCGATCAATTGTGAGTGGACTGGAGCTTGAGATAGCCCTTTTAGAGCTAGCTGTTGACTTTCTGAGATAGAGCTAGTATTTTGGGTTAGCCAGATAGACCGAACTGTGATACTTAACAGAATCATTGATTTATTAGGTTGTTCGAGTTGTTCTTGAATTAGTACTTTTCTCTCCTGATCTAAGGGTAGTTCTAGCAAGGTTGAAGCATTCCATTACATACAAGGTGCTAACACGGATGAATCTGGTAGAGAGAAAGAGGATCTTTCCCTCCGCTTTTTGTAAAACCTTGCTTACGTAGCCTTGCCTTGAAGTGAAGCTCGATCGCAGGCAGGTGTTAACGGCTCAAGCTCTATCCTCGATTCCCACGGTCTAACGGAGATGGGATTTTGCGGAACATCTTTAGAGATAGAATCTCTCTCTGTCTAGTTCTACAAGGAAATGGGCGCACTGAATCCTTCTATTATTTCTTAATAAAAATAGTATTAATTATTTTTATTAAGAAATAGAGTGACGACTGCAGCTACATTCTTTTAAAAGAATGTTCTCGCTATTGTAGATTTTCGAATTCATGGAAAATGGTGCTTTGTTCACACCTATGTTGATCTACCGCTGCTTTACACGCCCTTGATAGACGCATTCAACTAGAAAGAGATAGACGGGCAGAAGATCAATGAAAAAGACTTGCTAGCTTTTTGGCATACCGAAACAAAAGACGCTAGGGATTGGGCTGATTGACCCCAGGTTCTGGGATGAGAATCAAGTAAACAGTTGTAGTACCAAAGAGCGGTCCCAAGGGACGGAAGAAAGGAAGCAAACTAAGATTCCTAAGAGCTGTTTCCTACTAGCAGCAGGAAAAAGAAGAGATATAACAAAGGAGATCAGACAGCACCTGACCCTCTGTCTTTGGTAGGCAGAAGAGAAGCTTTCTCAGATTCCTCATCTCTTGAGCTTTCCCCGGTTGACGTTGAAGCCAAAGAAACGGGGGGAAGGGCACAACCAGTAGTTCCCACACCCATTCCCATTCAATGATTGATTCGAATAGCTAAGCGAAGGCTGAATTGAATGGACGAGTAAGGATGGGAATACGAGCTCCTTCATCTCAGCTTGTAGAATACGAGCTCCTTTATCTCAGCTTATGAGGGAAAGATGGCGATAACGGATTCAACATGGGAAGGTAGAACATGGATCTCGGTGTCCGGTCATCACGAAAAGAAGGATGCTTCGCTTGTCAGTTCGGATTGCTTCATCAGAGACACGGTCTAGAGAAGGAAGGTGTCATCTGTCATCCGGTCTCCTTTGATTTGAATTTGATGCTCACTCCACTTTGAACTAAACTTATGTCGTATGTTAACGAGTTTGTTTGTGCACGTACTCTTTCTTTCTCTTGGGCCCCTTTGGGGAAATCCTTTGCTGATTGCAGGGACCTTACTGGTCGAGTGGTTTTATCCCAATCTATAGTATGTTTCGACAGATGATTGATGAGAATATGAGCACCTATGATTGATTAGTATTTAAAAATGCATTTTTATCAAGATTTTATATCATCATTTTATACTTGAACTATCAATAACT